CCGAGGCCTCCGGGAACTCAAGACGAACACAAACATGGATAATCACCGGGTGTTCAAACGGTGACGTCCTAGTCTCGAGGACGGTCAAAAATGGGGTGTCTACACCTTGCTTCTCTGAACAATGCCACAGTTCTAGGAAAGGTTCCTTGCATACTATAGAATATCATCGGCTGGAGGAAATTCCCACCGGCCATATATAATTTCCATCGGCTGCTGTTGGAGTTATCGGCCATTCACCTATGGCCGGTCGGCATTGAATACTGCCGGTCGGCAGAAACTTCCTGCAGGAGACAGTTTTGACAGCAACAGAGAACAGACAGTATATGGCATGGGATTTCGGGCACATGTGAGCATGGTCATGTTTTCCATCATGTGTTGAACTCAGGGAAGCATGGCCCTCGATGCTTGAGCCATCAATGGTGCATGATAGCCCAAGGGATCAAGCTTGCCACTTGATGTAAAAATGCATGCCACACACAAATGAGGACCGAGACCTTATCATATCGAAGTCAAAGGCCCCAGTGACCGAGAGTTAAGACACGCTGCATCACTTATAGTATGAACGCTTCTTAACCCTCACACTTGGTTTGACACCCCAAACCAAGCAATGCAACGCATGTTATGCCAACATGGCTCAAATGCAACATGATACTAATTATGCAAGGCATGCCAAATGCCATGCAACTACTATGGCAAATATGCAATGCTAGGCATGCAAGATGCAAATGTGATGCAAATATGGACCAATATGCCATAAGGCTAGCATGGGACAACACATTAATGAACCAAATAAGCAACAAGCATATGATAAGCATGCAATGGTGGACTTAAACCATAAAGGGGCAGACCTCAGTCCACCCCAAAACAGTGGCCAAAAGTGCCCAAAATGATGGACAAACACTCATGCCAACAAGCAAGCCAATGGTCCTAAGGTTAAGGCACAAAAGGGGGCACTTTACTTCCACCAACATGACCACTCATGGCATGAATTGGACAAGTCAAAATAGGGTTTTAGCATGCAAAAATAGACCCCAAAACCTACTAACATGAGAGCTAAAGTGGCTCCAATGAGATGCATGCACCAAAGCTTAACTCTAGGCATAAAAGGGCGTATCCTCAAAGCATGAAAGAGGTCACACATGCAAGCATACAAGCATGATTTATGGGCTGAAACATGACCCTAAATGATGCCAAATCATGAAGGTGGTCCAAGCTACGCATGCTAGAGGCCAATATGCTCAAGGCTCACAAGCCAAAACACAAAGAGAGGACACCAAACATGGCAAGCATGACTGAAACAAATGGCCAACAGACCTTGAACATGGTGAAATGATGCCAATATCTTCATGAAATTAGGCTAACACATGCAAGAATCATGACCTAAACACAAGATGCATTTCTAGGCCAAATAGAGGAATGTAAAGCAAGTATGTTAA